GAATATATTTTTGGCATTGTTTGATATTGTGGTTGCCAAACGTAAGGCTAAAACGATTGCGATTAGCTCTAGCCGTGGGATAGTTTGAATAGCTTTCTTGGGAGTTAATCTCGTCTTGCCGCTAATCAATCCCGTGACCTTATACGATCGTTCGCACCTTAGAAAGGCGCACACTGCCATAGCCATCTTGCTAGCATCCGCGAAAATCCATAATGTGGTATCACTAGCTAATGCACGGTGCATTATTATGCATCGCGGAACTGTAATCGATGCACTGTTCACTTCTTGGCATGCTAACTGCCATTTTTTGCGCAATTCTTCTGGTACCGTATCTTTCCAGTCAATATTTAGAGTGTAAATCTCTCGCATAAGAGACTTAAGTTTGATTAGCAGCGGAGCTGCTAATCCAATAGGATCATAGACTGAGTTTAGCTGACTTACTATATCCCTTTTGCGTAATTTTTCTAACGATGAAAATTTCGTATTGACAGAAAATTGGTCTGTTTCAATATCAAATTCCACACCAAGAAATTTGATTTTTTTACCCGCTAACTTATCGTTTTCGGGTATGGCATTGTTGACTTCTACGGAATTAGAGATGAATTCTCGCAGATTTAGCCCAATTTCTGCAAACATTTCTTTGCTTTGCAGCTTGCATTTTGAAATTGCTTCTTCTACAGTTTCAGCTTGAAGCATAATGTTGTCGACGTACAGATTTCTTGCAATTTCTTTTGATAAATCTGTGTCTTTTGCATCGAGAAACTTCATAAGCACCATATTTAATATGCTAGGTGATGCGGTGATGCCAAAAGGCAATCTTTTGAATCTATACTGTATGATGTTGGTTTTTACAGGTGGTTCAGTGGTATTTTTAAGCCATAAAATCTACATAGATCTTTGTGGGCATTTGGTAGTCTGATTTGCGTAAATGCTGCTTCAATATCGCACAAAACGATAATTTTTGGGAAGCGACTAGCGATTAAAATGTCGTGAATTTTGTTTGTGAACGACTCTCCTGTTGCAATAACCTCGTTAAGTGAGATTTGCCCTTTTTGCTTTGATGATGCATCAAACACAATTCGCAACGGTTTTGATTTTTGAGGTTTCCATACTCCTGAATGTGGCATATAGTAAACACCACAATTTTTCTCTGATAATTCTGGTATTTCTTCGATAATATCGTTTTTGAGATAATCTGCCATAATTTTGCAATACCAGTTGTTTTGTTCGTTATGTTTGCGCAACTGGTGCCATAAAGAAACGAGCCGACGCTGAGCGACGGGGTAGTTATCCGCGAGGTCAGCGATGTTGTCTCGCAGAGGGAACGGAGCTGTAGCGTAGCCGTTATCGTAAGATATCGATTTTGAATACTCTCGGAAGTAACTGTAAGTAACCTCATCTTGTTTGGCGTCATCAGCAAATATGCCTAAACCGTCAAGTTCAAACATGTTTTGTAAGATAACCGCCTCAGATTTTTCGTTTACGAGCGTTAATCCATACATTATTGGAGATTCGGGAACTTTTGAATTGGGTTCAGTTCCTCGCCCGTGGATTGCGGGGCCAAAAATGGTCCTCCCAATATGTAATCCTGACGGTAGGATCGAAGTGTTTTGCGTAGCAAGCATGAAACTATAGTAGTAATCTAATCCTACCAATATATGCGGATTTTGGATTTCTCCTTGAACTCTTGGATTGCATAAATAGATTTCCTTATGCTGCAAGAACTTTTTGTCGTCATCTGTTAACTTAACCGACGGAAAACCGTTGGTTATGATTGGTTTTGTTTGTATTTCAAAACTTAATTCGTCGCCAAATGCTGATAGAACCTTGATTTGGACGTTATTGCTTTGAAATTTCTCAATGTGTCCGCCTATTCCCGACATAGTACACAATTCTGCACCTTTACGCGGTAGTCCAAGTTTTGCGGCTATTTGCTCTTGAATGAGCGTTTTTTGTGCTCCTGTATCGAAAAAGAACAAGACTTTTTCGTATTGGCAAGTATTGTAATTCCAAATATTGCCTTCTGCCGTCATGAGCACAATTTGTTCTTTTGTTCGTGAATTTTCGAGTTTTGGTGGCGTTTCCTCATTTTGTAGTACGTCGGTGGTGTGAATATTAGCTTGGTTAGGTCCCCACCGTGGCTCATTTGGCCTATTGCGCAATGAATTGTTCGCAAATCTCGATTGTGCAGGCGTACGCCTGTTTTGATGCTGATTGTTAGCCGGATTATACGGTCCATTGTTATTTCTAGTTCTGATACATAAACTAGTATTGTGTGCTTGGTTGCAGACTGAGCAGTTTGCCCAGGAGCACTGGAAGCTATTGTGATTGTCTGCTAGACATTTCCAGCAAAGTTTCTTTGCTATAACCACTTTTCTTTTGGCGTGTGCATCAGTTGCTTTGCATACCGTGCCTAAATGGTCCCTGCTGCAAAATATACATTGTCGTACTTTGCTTCTGGTATCTTCTTTATGGTGAAAATCCTGAGGTTTTGGTGGTTCTCTTCCACGGTTTCTCAGTCTGGAATCTACAAACATTTTTGCCGAGATTTCCTTATCGAATTCCTTCATTAAATTCTCTATCGTGACCGATCCTTTTTGCTGAACGGCTCTGAGAACACTTCTTACAATATTTTGTGGAAATTTTTCTATAATTTTTTCCGTCCACAGGGCATCGTTACTTTGCCGGATGTCTTGGCCGGCAGATACCATTTGATTAATGAGGACACGTATTTTGTCGTATCTATCCATGCAACTCTCGGCGGAGCCATTTGCAGGTAGCATATCCTCTAATTTTTGCACGATTCTTGTGCGATTTATCGGTTTATTACCGTATTTTCTTTTGAGTTCTTCAGTCATCCACGTATAATTCTGTGGAATTAGTTGTATTCCTTTCACAGTCAACTCAGCCCTTCCTCTAAGGCTGTCTTTGAGAAAGAATATTTTTTCTACTGTGCTCAAGCTTTTGTTTTGATCCACTAATGTGGTAAATATACCCCAAAATTCGGGAAATTCTTCTTCGTCTCCATAAAAGCGCGGTAGCTTCATTTGGTGGAGCTTCAAACTTTGACTGGCCATTTCGTTACCATCTGTCGACATTTTGCTATCATCAGAACTGTCCTCTGTAAGCCAGGCAGCTTCTGTTGGATTAACTACCTCATCAGTAGTTTTACTCTGTGTAGGTCTTCCAGGATCCGATAATGTTTCGGTCTGGGATATATTGCTGGTTATTCCCAGCTTTCTCGCCATTTTTTCGGCGTAATTGTGCGCTTCTGCAAGTCTTGTGGTTAACACACACACCAACTCGGTGGCTCTGGCCATCCATTCGGTAAAGTTTGTCTGGATTTCTACCTCTTCCAGATCTTTGTCCGCTTCTATTCTATTAGTTTTGCGGGCCTCTTCGTAATCTCGTAGCAGTTGGTCTATTAATAACTGCACCGAGTCCTTGCTGATTTGAGTGGCATTAATGGCACCCTTTATTTGGTTAATTGCTTCACGGCACGCTTCATAGTTGTCCTCAAATGAAGCGTTTAGTTGGAACTCCTTCGTATATATTGTGAATTTTTCCACAAATCCTTGAAGGGATTGTACGCCGCGAGCAATGGTTTTTTTATGATAAGAAATCGACATTGCACAAGGCGTTGTCGTAGTTCGATTCCACAATGGGTAGAACTAATAATGCGCTGCTTACCGCAGGGCTAGATAGTGGCTCAGAAATTTGGCCGATGCACCAGAATTGTGCCACTATAGGGCAACTTTGACTCTGGGAGCAAACACAACACGTCGCTTTGAACGTTTATTGTGACACTGAGGAAGCTTACAACAGAAGAGCCCCGTTGACCCCCGAACCGCCCGCTTTACTGCGGGATGATTAATGTATAGGTCGGTTCGGCCACAATACGTAGCAAATGGCCGAACAAAGGCACTGCCCAGGCAAATCTAGGGCATTGGTTTCTCGCCTGGAAACCGATGAGGGTTCGACTAAGGCACTGCCTAAGCGGCAGCGCAAATGATTTCGCAGCTGAGACTTTTCCGAAACCCTTCGGCCTGCGCTATGACCGTATTTGAAAATATCTTCGCTTGCATTGGCATTACGTTCGCGCTGGGGCCCATCCTAGGTCGCTCCCGAGTTACTGTCACGGCGCAGGCGCGGAGTGTTTCGGGATGGATCTGTCAGCCGTGAATAAGTCATTTGCGCTGCCTTTTGGGCAGTGCCTTAGCTAGGACCCTCTCATCAGTTTCCAAAACCGCCAGCGCCCAGATTTGAATGGACACTGCCTTCAAGTAAGATCTGACTGCTTGGCCTACGGATACATCATTTAGGTTCGCGCATAAGTTCTGCAACTTTGCCCATAACTTCTCTTCCTGAACGAGGTGCTCTCATTGCTCTCAAGATTTTAAAGTTATATAAACTATGAAGTGAGCTACGAATCTGCACGTACTGTTTGTTTCTTCATGGTGGAATAGAAAAAGTTTACGCATTTTTCTAAGGGCAGAAATTCGAGTACGGTTAGCAAAAATGAAGCCGTACACAATGTGAATTAACCAGTTTGAGTAGGCTAAAGAAGAGTGCAATGCTATTACGTAAGAGCTATCGTGCTATAAGTCCTTATGTGGATTTGATACAGAATCAGCACATCTAAAAAGAGCGGAGGAATGACGTGTTTTTTGCGGCTCTCGAGCTGTTATTCGAGGTTGGTATCAGTTAGCGTGGTCTTCGACGTTACCGTATCTCAATCGAATATCAACCTGGTTTTTTTATCGACATCTGAGAGTAGAGATTACGTGAATCTCGACCTAATAAGCTCTGACGAAGGCGAATTCGCCGAAACGTTAGCCAATAAAGATTGATATATTCGCCATGCCAGCATTCAGAAGCTGCCAAAACAGCTCAAAGAAAACGGAGTTTACTTTTGAGACAACATAATGGCATTCCAAAACCTTAAAATGAAATGACTTCATACAAAAGATCTGATCATGTGCAAGGATTGGAACAATGTACTCGAAATGCTGACTGATATATACAAACAGATGACTACAAACTAATTAGAAGTACGCTTTCCCTCGAGAATCTACAAATCCGCCTAAACTGGTGGCGTAATAATCAGGTACCATATCAAATTGGTCATTTTCACGGTTGTGCATGACATCTTCGAGCTGATGACAACCAGACAGTACTAAGAGAGTTCTCATGCCGTGATCTCTTCCGAATTTCACATCAGTATTCGTCCTATCACCAATCATCATGGTTCGTCGAGAATCGATGTTCCATCGCTTTTGAATGTAATCAAAGGCAGGAGTGTAGGGTTTACCAACGGTGATAGGCTGGCGACCAGATGCGCATCGTACCGCTGCTACTATTGGCCCTGAACCAAAATTACTATATATCGCTATAAGTTTTAAGTTGAGTAGCAAATACTGCACAAAAAAATTAGGTTTATGCGTAGCACTCCAGCAAAACAAGAAAAGCTGTTACATTAAATTGTAAGGTTCACTTATAAAATTGTGATGTTACCGCGGTCTTTGCGCCCACGGGAGCATGACGCCCTCATACAAAAACGCTGAAGTGAACGCTCAGTTCACTCACTTCCAGTATCCAGGTACTGTCATATATAAGCAGAAAAACCAGACGAATGAATATTAGAACCAGGAAAATGCTGTTGTTGGAAGGTGCGTGCGTGTCGCGCGCAGTCGCGCCATTTTTCGATGCCCTATATCACATCCGCTACTAAAATCCCTTGCATCTTTTGTAGAAAGTGCTGTTTGGACGAGAAGTAAAAGAGCGCTATAGAGAGGCTTGGCTCGTGGAGCCCAGATGCGTGGAGACAACCAACCCATCTCGGCGGCAATTGGATCATAGGCTCCAGCAGCCAATCGTCTAGAGGGAGGGCTTTCGCTTCCCGCCCAAACAGCAGATTCCACGTCCAGAAAAGCAAGTTAATAATATCTTCAAAAGCTGTAAAGCACAGTTTTAGACTCAGCTCAACTAGGAGAGTCAAGAATGATGACTATCTCAAAATTGTCAGTCTGCCAAGCCACCGCCTTCAAAGGGCTAAGCCTAGAGTTGGCGACTGTTTATGTCCATAATTTCCCGTCAGAATCAGAACTCTTCACGAATGATCACTGCTTTACAAACCTGCATCGGGAATAACAATGCTAGGATTTGGTCCAGGACAAGTCTCATCCTCATTTGTTGCTAGAAATAGGCAGCGTCGTTGTTGTAGATAGTTAGCCGCTTTCATCAATTTTTGGTAGTTAAAGTGCTTTTCATATCCGACTACGACAGCTCCCACATTTCGAGGCTGCAAGACATAGAAATTCATTGCCTTCAAAATTCTTTCAGCGCCAACCTCTTCCTTCAGTTTGATATCATACATGATAGCACTATCGTTAGAATCATCTTGAGGTTCTGGACCGTGTCCGAAGTAAGGGATATCTATACAAAATTATACATAGCTTTTGGGAAGAAACAAAAAATGGCAAAGCCAATAAGGTTTTACCAAGATCATCCATTTCGTCGCGCAGTCCCTTGGCACCTATTAAATATACTTTCTTACCATTCCTTGAAAGACCCGCCCGATGTAAAGTATCAGCTATCACTGCGGCTGGGTTTACTATTAAATGCTGAAAATACATAATTAATTTAGCACTGCGAGTTACGCGCAATATTACCTTGTCTAATTTTGGGCTAAAACCAAGACTGGTGAGTTTTCTAGCGTATTCTGCTCGCGATTTGGTTGCATTATTCGTTAGCACAATCACTTGCTTGTTGCTCTTCAAAAGAAAATTCAGAAGCTGAGGAGCCCCGGGTATAGCAACATCTCCAAGCCAAAGCACCCCTGAAAATTTTGGCGAACGACCACTACTCAAGGGAAAGATGAGAAACTTACCGTCAGCGTCAAAAATGAAGGTGTCAGTTTCAGGTAAGAGTTTCCGAAACCCTGCCGGACATAGCAACTCAGTCTCATTTTGCAAAGATTCGTGATGCTTCTGAACTGTAGAATTGTACAGCTTATGATTGGTGGCGGGGTTTATATTTATCTGGAAAACAGTGATTCAGACTTTTTTGTACACATACCAAGAATTTAATTCCTAATACAGGCAGTCCTAATAGCTATTCAGTCGCAGTTCACTTTTCGCTCACAATGTAAAAATTTACTCAAACCGTAAAAGTCAAGTTTCATGTAGATTAATGAATTAAAGGCACCAGCTGGCTCAGGGCAAGCTGTATATCGTTTTTGAGACAAAAAGCAAAGGGGCTATCGTTTTTGTGGCAGAAAAGACACAAAAAATTGCGACGTTTTTTTTAGTCGACGTTTCGTTTTTTAGGGTTTTTTTACGTTTAGGGTTTAGGGTCAAAGGAGACTTCGTACGCTATTTTCAAAATCAAAGGGAACTTCGTTTTGAAAATTCTCTGGTGCCAGCTCGCGCCGAGCCCTGTGAATAACTCCAGTGTAAAAATTTCTTCGAGGACGAGTAGAAGCAATAGTTTTTTTGCAAAGTGCAAGGGAAAGTCGCTTGTCCTTTCAGTGAATTTTGAAGTTAACGAAGTCAAAATTACGCTACGAGAGAAAACCTGCATCAGCTGTCATTTAGATAAGTAGATAGACGTTACAAATGCAATAGTACGGATCGTAATGAACGGAAACACTAACTGGCGCATTTTCTCTTAAAAACGCGCAAGACATGGCTTACAGTATATTTATGTGGTAGACGAGTGCTTCTGGCGTTTCCATTGTCATGTTTAAACAGGCTTCCGTGAAAAGTTGTGATTTTCGAGAAACAAGCCAAAAAAATCAAATTTGTTGTTTTATACTGCTTGCTCCGAAATCGTAATTTTTCACAGAGACAACCAATCAGCACGAACTTTGCCCAGTTAGAAATAACAGGCGGTAAAACCTAATTGATTGCTGATTTTTATTGCAAGTTTGAGATTATTTACGACCCAATTCAAGAAAACCAAAACTTGAGTAATTTTCTTTTACCGCTTCTATTCCCACAATGGATGCTTATAGGAAGAGCATAACTTATCCTTTCAATTGAAAAAAAAATCAAGCAAATCGACGAGAAAGGAAGAGGTTATAAATTTTTAGAAATGGTGCGAACGAACGTGAAAGCCTAATATTTGCAACCTATAGCACAAAGCTCACCGTATTAGCCTCTGACTGCAATGGAACGAATGATATTCTATCTTCCGTGCTTGTACTTGCCCTCGCTTTGTAGTGCACATCTGATGACTGCTTCCGACAGATTCTGAATTGGAAAGCACATTGAAAAAAGCTTTTTTAGCTCAAATAAAAAAATTACAGCAGTTGAATATGTGTTACCCTAAAGTCTTAGATAAGTCAGCTTTTTTGACAAGAAAAACCGATGAAAATGCACTTTCACACCGCCAAGAATCTTGCAAATAAGTCCTCCCATCAGATAAGTCCTGACTTACCTGACAGATTTCAGGGTCGTTATAATGGAAAGAAAGCGAGCTTATCTGACGGCGGACTTATCTGTAGACGGACTTATCTGTGAGATTTTAGGGTACATAGAACAAAAGTCGCTCTATATCCTATATTGCTATGTCCCAATACAGTACCAACTATTTGACTTTACCATTTTTCATATCTATATTCTGAACAAGACTGGTGAGTCCAAATGCGTGTTCAAATCTATAGTAAAATGAAATTTGTATGTTGAGCTCACCTATGAGAAGGCAACTTTTGCACAAGAAGAATGCGTAGAGTGCGGCTTGAGATCATCTGAAAATAATTTTCGAAAGTTAGAATTTGCAAATAAAGAACAAGTAACTGAGATGTCGGTAGTGGAGCGATGGAAGAGGGGGGGGATTGGACGTGACTATACACTATACTTGGGTAATTCGAAAATTTTTCATCGAATGAATGAATATCGAATAAATTCGAAAATGAAAAATCTCGAATAAACGAATATCGAATAAATTCGAAAATGAAAAAAACCCGAATAAACGAATATCGAATAAATTCGAAAATCAAAAAAACTCGAATGAATGAATTTCGAATAAATTCGGAAAATCAAAAATATCGAATGAATGAATATCGAATATATTCGAACATTGGGAGTCGAATTTCGAATAGATATTCGAATGATTTTTCGAATAACTACTGCAACTTATCTAAAACTTGCTGACATTTCTGGCTAAAACCGATTCATTCATAATCAGCACCCTCATATCCCCTACACCAACTCCTAGCTCAAGCTTTTCCAAAAATCGGTGAAATCGATAAACAAAAATTTTGTTTATATCAGCACTCTCACTTACCCCCCCCCCCCTGTACCAAGTCCCAGCTCCGTAGCTCAAAGCTCCCCAGAAATCGATAAAATCGATAAACAAAAATTTTATTCATAATCAGCACACTCACTTACCACCCTGTACCACTCCCAGCTCCGTAGCTCAAAGTTTCCCAAAAATCGATAAAATCGATCGGCGTCCACCACATTTCAAGGGCAGTTTAGCAGAGTAGCAGCAAATGAAATTGGCTGGAGCTGAAATTTAAAAATGAGGCTTGCACACGCTATACATCAGTGGTGAGCTGGCGTTACATCTGAAGACATCTGTAACTCATTGATAGAAAAAGCATCAATTAAAATCCACATTTATTTTTTTAATGTCGCAAGCAGTCGGAGGAATGCGACTTTCCATACAGTTCAAAGGTCGTTACGGTTGCAAAAAAGATGCATTACCTGGTCTTGTAAAAAAATACGAAAACGAAGCGAGCTTGGTACTCACAGTTGGCTCTGCAACAAACTCGAATAATTTGGATACGGAGTTCATTCGAATACGAATTCGAATAAACATTCGAATAAAACATTCGAATAAATTCTATTCGAAAACCCGTTTTTCGATTATTCGAGTTTTCAAATATTATTCGAATCCTCGTTTTTTGATTATTCGAGTTTTCGAATTTTATTCGAAATCCTGTTTTTTGATTATTCGAGTTTCGAATTTTATTCGAAACCCCGTCTACTCAATTATTCGAGTTTCGAATATTATTCGAAAGTGGAAAAACTCCGAATATCGAATTTTCGAATCGAATATATTCGAATGTTTTATTCGAATGATCGAATTTCTATTCGATTCGGACCCAAGTATACTATACACTAATGGTCTCAAAAAAAAGCTATCTTATTTTTCTGCGTTAAGGCTTTCTTGTCTCTGTGTTTGTGTATTTCTAACACTGATTTATTTTTCAAGAATCTGTTAATTACTAACCCGACACTATAGCGCGCCTGCGGCGTATTCAAATGAATAAATTACAGGCTTTATGACTTTCAAATCTTCTTGGATGTTTAAATTAGCCTTGCGAAGAATTTCGGGCAGAAATTTTGTCAAAAAATTTCTGGAGCTTATGACTAAGTCCCACATCTTCATTCAAAAAAATTTTGTAGCGCCCTCCCCCTCTGGAACAGATATACTGGAAGCACTGCTATAAGAGATCTGAGATATTTGTGCTTAGTTAGATAAGATGGAAGCGCTGTAATCCTAGCAAGCTAAACGCTCTGGAAACAAATGACTAACAATAAGATTCATGCCACGTTGCCAAACCTTTGAACCTCATAAAATGCACATAAATTTGTGAGAAATACTCAAATAAAAAGCATTGAGTAGGACATTTGGGCACATGGAAGAACTGAATTAAATGCAAGGATTAGCCTTCTATCTCAAAGTGCGAATGGTACTAGCAGATGAAACAAATCATAGCTATTGAAAGGATGTGAACTTCCACTTCAAAAATGAAATCCAGTACAATCAATATGATTTTATTAGAAACGATAAAAATATCCTCCAAACGCTTTTTATAGTTCAATTTTTCTCACTGTTTCTGATGTTACAGGACAAATCTCAAATTGCGACAAATCTTGCAAACTGATATGATAGACTGTAGGTGAGCGCGGAACGACAGTTGTTTATGCGTGGACAGTTGTGAGTATCTTTCGACGTAATCACGTGAGATTATCGCAACGATCAGAGAATTTCCGATGCGAAGGCATAAGTGTAAACCTCGCAAAATTTTTAAAAATCTAAACCACTCGGTATGTAAGAGAAGTTATCCCTTCTTTGACCACATGAGGAAGTTTGATCTAATAATGAATTGATTTTTTCTTGTCAGAAAAACTGTTAAACTGAATAAAGCTGAATGTCTCTCAATATCGTGTCATAATCACTTTCTCTTCATTAGTTCCGCTGTGTTAAGACTAGATTCATATTCAAAACATCGGAAGAAGAAATTAGGCAAGGATAAAATGCATCGAATTGTTAGGTTGAAGCATAAGCCTTACAGCAAAAATGAAAATTGCCACACCGAAATTTCTAAAAATTCTTGGTTGTCCTTTCAACGAACTCGTTTGATTTTATGGTCAAGAAGAAGAAATAATTTTTTCTAACATTGCTTAAAGTAAAGATACATATTGGCATATCACGGTAATAAAAGCTGACTAAGGGATACATTCAGATCGTAATTTTCAATTCTTGTTATTTGAAAATGCAGAGCCAGAAAGATTTTGAGTCTATATTTAATGATTGTTTGGCTTACTCTTTTCAATTGTGGAAAATTCATAGCGATTGTTTTTTCTATTTGTAGTTATGATTTCCGATCGAATAAATTTTCTATCATTATAGTCAAAAGCACTTATTCTAAGATTCGAAGTCATAAATACAACTTGAAACGGTGTTTCAAATTTTTTGTGTGAACTTTTGGATTTTTGGTATCTTTTGGTATAAGACTAAGATCAGCCTAATACATGTCAAAAATAACAACACATGGAGCTAGAAAAAATCGTTGAAATAGTCTCATATTGGCATGCACAATACATAAGAAAGATTAACATGACCTATCAACTGGGTCAAACACAAATTTTTTTATCACCTTAGATGTGAATAGATGTATGGGTCAGAGCAGTACAGGATCTGGGTACCATTAATAGCCTTTTGAAGTACTGAAACCGTACTTCTAGAATGTGCGCATGGAGCTAACAAGATTTGATTTCTAACCATTAAAAAACCCAAAACTCCAGAGCTCAATTTCGAATACTTCCTGAAAAGAAAGTTAATACCAATTTTTATGTCCCAGATCTGTAAAAGAGATCTTCCGCACATGTGCAGCCTTATCAGTGGGGTAAACATCGGCGATGTCGTCAACCATACCATTTTCTGGGAGGGGAATGACCTAGCAAAGGATTACTATACGCTTTTGAAGGTACATAGAGAGTTTTGAAAGTGAAAGAAACAGAAATAGGAGGATAGATAGGACGAACGCACTGAACAGAGCTTCTCTAAGGTGTGCACTTTGGTGTAACATATCTGTACTAAGCTAGACCTTAAAGTCATAACGCAAGATAATCTCATCCGGATTGATTTAGTGCGAAGCGAGAGCTTGATAGGACTCCTGTGGAGAGCAAAAATAATCATGGTATGAGGCATTATAATCATTATTGTATTGCAGCGAACAACTAAGGTGATAGACCTGACAAAAATTCTAGTTTCGTTACCAAACTTTTAACCTTGATAGGAGCTGTAGGAGGGGTTTAAATATATTAGGCTGGCTAAAAAATAATTTCGTAACATGAGAATTTTCGTAAAAACTTTCTTGCTGTTTTTTATCCATGATATCTCTATCTTATATATAAAGCTGAATGTCTGTTTGTCTGTATGTCTGTCTGTCTGTCTGTATGTCTGTCTGTCTGTACGTATGTTCCGAATAGAAAATTCCATTTCTGAACCGATCCGGACCAAACTTGGCACACATACACTACGGGCCCCGGCGGGTGTCATAGGCTACTTTTCGTCATCGATCGATATCGATTTTATCGATTTTTATCGATTTTTTTGCTGAGTTCACCTACGGGGCTGGGAGTTGGCACAGGGGGGTAATCGAGCATGGGGATTCCGAATACAATATTGGTTTTCGGGATTATCGATTACTTTTATCGATTTTATCGATTTTTTTGCAAAGTTTGAGCTAGGGGGCTGGGAGTTGGCACAGGGGGGTAATCGAGCATGCTGATCATCCCCAAGGGGGGGTGATCAGCATGCTCGATTACACCCCAGTGCCAAATTCCAGCCCCCTAACTCAAATTTTCAAAAAATCGATAAAATTGATAAAAGTAATGGACGATCTTGAAAACTAATATTGTATTCGTAATCTGCATGCTCGATTACCCCCCTGTGCAAACTCCCAGCCCCGCAGGTCAAACTTTACAAAAAAATCGATAAAATCGTTAAAAGTAATGGACGATCCTGAAAACTAATACTGTGTTCGTAATCCGCATGCTCGATTACCCCCTGTGCAAAAACCCAGCCTCGCATGTCAAAATTTACAAAAAATCGATAAAATCGTTAAAAGTAATGGACGATCCTGAAAACTAATACTGTGTTCGTAATCCGCATGCTCGATTACCCCCTGTGCAAAAACCCAGCCTCGCATGTCAAAATTTACAAAAAATCGATAAAATCAAAAAAAGTAATCGATAATTCTGGAAACTAATATTGTATTCGGAATCCCCATGCTCACTTCCCCCCCCCCCCCCCTGTGCCAACTCCTAGCCCTGTAGGTGAATTCTGCAAAAAAATCGATAAAAATCGGTAAAATCGACATCGATCGATAACGAAAAATGGACTGTGACACCGCCGGGGCCCGAAGTGTATGTGTGCCAAGTTTGGTCCGGATACGGCGGAGCCGGGTAAGCCAGCTAGTCATATATAAACTATTCAGAATTTTTCATAAACAATAATGACAGTATGCAACTTGGCTAAAATTCCAGAAGCTCGAATCTGCAACTTTCACAGCTTCATTTACATGCTGTAATGGATGCAGAAAATAGTAATTTGGTTTTTGAAAAGAAATAATATTTCTCTATTTAGCGATTAACAGTAAAATGTAACGTGCCATTTCAAGAATCCTTGACCAAAAAACAAATTTTCTTTTATATTTGCGCACAATAAGAAGACTGAGGTTTCTTAACTCTTCGATGATTTCTTTTGTAAGAAAATAAATTTCACTCATGCAAAATTCATATTCCAAATCTTATTTAAGTGTTTTTTCCAGAGGTACCAAACACTGGAGGAAAATTTCTGTGCGGCATTCCCTGGAGCCAAAAACGATCGAAATCACTCATAGCCAACCTATCAATTAGAAAATGCAAGAGAGATGGCTTGAAGGCTTGAATAATGAGGTTTGAGGTAGTGAATACTGGAAAACTACTAGCCAACCGGATGAATCTTTGAGCTTTTGTCACAACAATGATGCTCTTTGGAATGGGCGTCATAGCGGCCGCCTTTGTTTACATGAAAAACACACTGCTAACAGAGAACTATGATCTTCCTATGATTGATGACCGATCTCACGACCACGTTTCAGTCGGCAAATAAGTATGGTTGTATAGTATGCGATATGGTCACCATAAAATCCCTATCAACAGAAAGGGTGTCAGCTAAAAATTTGAGGTTCACATGAATTGAGGAAGGAGCTAGGATCAGAGGTGCGATAGGAGGAGCCCGGCCCCCCAAAAGGGGGAGGGGGGGGGGGGGGGGAGGGGGACTTCGGGATAACTGAAGAACTCTCACCAGGGTCCCCCTTGAGGGCAACAACTGTGACCTAACGGCCCTCTTTAGGGCCACAAATACGATGGGTACAGCGGCATAAAATTAAAAAAATAAACGTGTTAGTCAAAAGGTCTATTTGTAAGTAAAACCCAGCTAGATACGTACTTTATTAGGTAAATTTTTTATAATGTACTGCGAATAAAGTAGGTTGATCCAGGCAGTAACCACTGAGAACCAAAATTTCGAATAGTAAAATTACGTAAAATTATGCGAAATTTCCATTGTTATAAATCTGGTGAATTGAAGATATCAGCAATTGCGACTTCATAGGTTCTGAAAGGCAAGTGTTTTTCTACCAGATAGTGAAAAAATTAGGTCGATTTGAGCAATGGCCGCCGAGAACGAAAATTTTAAAAAATTAAGCGATTTTAGGTTACTTAGTGGCAGCTGACGTTTAGGCTCCTATAAATCTGGATTGTAAACGTGTGCAATGTTGCAACTTCATAGGTTTTGTAGAGTAAGAATTGCACTATCGAACTGTGCCTTAGCCGTACCAATCCATTGAGATACCGCCGAGATTCAGGCTCTTAAAGAATCAGGTAAAAACCGCTTTTTGAATTTCAACAGCTCATAACTTCTTCAGAATTGCATAAATCATGTTGCGATTTCATAGGTTGGATTCTCCTCTTCAAGAGCTTTCAGATAATCTATAATATGTAGGGGGTCCAATGATTTTTGCGGCTCTAACCCAGGGTGGAGACTTTTCAGCCCAAAGTCTCCACCTCGCCTATGTTAATGTATTGGCTGGAGACCGCCAGTGGAGACTTCGAGGTGAAAAGTCTCCACCCCGGGCATATGCCGTAAGAGGCGCGAAATCCCCACATGTTATATATTATCTGAAAGCTCTTGAAGAGGAGAATCCAACCTATGAAGTCGCAACATGATTTATGCAATTCTGAAGAAGTTATGAGGTTTGTTGAAGTTCAAAAAACGGTTTTTACCTGTTTCTTTAAGAGCCTGAATCTCGGCGGTATCTCAGTGGATTGGTACGGATAAGACACAGTCCGATAGTGCAATCCTTACTCTACAAAACCTACGAAGTCGCAACACTGGACATCTTCACATTCCAGATTTATAGGAGTCTAAACAACAGCTGTCACTAAGTAACTTAAAATCACTTAATTTTTTAAAATTCTCGTTCTCGGCGGCCATTGCTCAGATCGACCTAATTCTTTCACTATCTGGTAGAACAACACTTGCTTTCAGAACCTATGAAGTCGCAATTGCTGATATCTTCAATTCACCAGATTTATAACAGTGGAAATTTCGCATGATTTTTCGCTATTTTATCATTCAAAATTGTGGTTCTCGGCGGTTACTGCCTAGATCGACCTACTACATAGATATATGCTCTCAATACTCTCCTCTGCGTTCCTTTTGCTTATTTTCCTTTTTTTAAGCTTCAGCAAAAAATTTTTTCCAAACCTAAGTGAAGGTGGTCACCCCCTACCAGCTCAAAAGTGAAGGTAGGCGGAGACTCGGCTCCGATTATCGCACCTCTGGCTAGGATTCTATTACCCATTAAGTACTCCGAGAATAATTTGCAAAATTTCTAATAGTCTACGAGTGCCTAAGAGTTATAATGGCGTAAGTGACTTGTTTGCAGATAACTGAAATAATTCTGAGAAATGTCCAGGAATCCAAATTACAGACTGCTGCATAACGAAGGCGCAATATCTTTAGGCGCGAACGTGGCTTCATTAGCCACAGAGCGCATGAGGCGCAGGACGCGGCGCGTTCGCGCCCGCTCAACTAATGTTGCTAAGCGCTGCGTCAGGCAGTAGCCTTTAGCTTTGTTGGAGCATGAGGCTGCGTTAGGAGCCAGACTTATCGGGGATGTAGGGCGGTTCGCACGACCGTGATGCTTTCCATACGGACCACCGCCGCGCGCGACACACCCTGCGGCGGCTTCCCTAAGCCCAAGGGGAGGAAAGGTTTGCGGCGTGCGCGACGTGTTAGAGGCACCGTCCGCCCTAAGTTAAGAGTGTTGAGCTTTTGGCAACTTATAATAGTAGGGCCTCCTATCAATCCAATGCCCAAGTCGCGGCGCAACATGCCGCTTCGGAAGCGAGAAAATCGCTTCGGAATAGCAAAGATGCACGAGGACCTCCATCCATGCCCGCCCATTTGCGCGCGCCCATCCAATCAACGTTTCGGAAAGCCGGCCTGTGAGTTCTCCGGAACGGGATTGTCGGGGTTTTCGCGCATTCTCGACTTCATATTCGGAATCAGGGTTATGAGGAGGCCCTGAAACGACAAAAACGTGGAAGTCAGAAATCTGGGTGGACGGTGCCTTTAAGGCAAGTCAAAATCAGGGTGGCGCTTGAGACTGCCCGTGCGAAAAACCGTCTCCCATCGGTTGAGATAAGTTAGGCCACCAAAAGGAGATTTTTGAAACATCCCAAAGTATGCGAGCATGCCCTATCGCTCGAAAAAATTTCTCCTCGATTAACCAATTTGAAATCAAAAATAGTAATCTCATACGTCCGATATTTGATAATTCGATATTTGATTGCTCTCATTGATCGACTTCAATGATTTCAACACTTCCTTCAGTTCTGCGAGCAAGCTGCCTTCTACAAAAATCGTCAAATCCCAGTCTATTTTGTGCCTTTTTTCATTACAAGCAGCAGATCATAGCTCTACTTGAAAGTTTTCTGAAGTTGGGTTGTCGCGAAGATTGAAGCGTGCTCCACGATCAAGTGCACTCACGCGCCTGCGCGGGCAGCAGATGCATTTGAACAGACTACACCGTCAGTATGGGCGAAATTCCCGTTTCTGTGTTTTTTGTATTTGTTTCTTTTGATTTTTGTTTACTGAACATCTCCATTTTCAGCTATGTTTTACGCACAGTTTGTTCTATCAAAGAAAGGACCACTTGCAAGGATCTGGTTAGCTGCACACTGGGAGAGGAAGCTGTCAAAGGCGCAGATCTGCGAAACAAACTTGCAAGACGCAGTGAACGAAATTGTCAAACTGAAGGTACTGGCTATCCCATTTTTGCATTTGAAACACATTATGACCAAGAAATCGTAAGGTCCTTGCGAATATCTCTAAGCGGGCGGCATATTGAAGGCACTGTCCGGGGAAAAAGTCGATTTTGAGATTTTGCGCTTACTTGGGCATACTCGCTATGCTGAATCCGGAAATCACCGCTGGAGAGCGCGAAAACGGCAAGAAAGGGCTCTGAAGCAGGGAATTCAGCAGGTGGGCGGGGTTTTCCCCACTGTGAATCCACGCTCCCAGCTTCCGGAGCGATTTTCTCGATTCCGCTAGCTGCCCTCATATCGCCACCGGCCAAGTGCGAACGCCTGACTTGAAATTGAAACTGATTGTGAGAGGATCGTTCCGGAAGGTAGAAGCATGTATGTACAGTGGGGAAGATCCGCCCACCTGCTGGTTTCCTTCCTGCTTTAGAGCCCTTTTTGGTCGTTCGCGCTCTCCAGTGTGGTTTTGGATTCAGCTTAGCGAATAGGCCCAGGTACGCGCGAACTTTTAAATTTGACTTCTAGCCTGGACAGTGTCTTTGAATATTTGATTTTCGCGCAATGTTGATCACTCCCTGTTTTGCGGTGGTATGCTGTAATACTGCTTTCTGGCAGCACTTGGTTCAAAGACTTATATTTTTGAAGGTCAAGATGGCTTTGCGTACTACTGGCCATCTTTTGCTCGGTATCGTGCGCATATATTCCCGGAAGGTGAAATACCTGCTAGCAGACTGTAATGAAACATATCTGGGAATCAGAACTGCTTTCCGTAGTGGTCGAGTTGAAATGGTGGATGAAAAAGGAACTGGAAGGAACGCGATCTCCGTGCCTGAGGTATTGTAAAGATCTGCATTGCTGTTATACCCTCTTTGAGATAAAACATCTCAGGTGTACAGAGATTTCAATTCTATTCTTCCGGACCTTGATGAAACGATTTTCGAAAATCATCTACAGGTTCTTTTGCTTGTTAGGTCTTGTTCTCCCCTTTACATACGTTTTGAAGATCAATCAAAGTCGGGTCGGCGATATCACGTTATTGGAGGAGCAAATTCCCGCTCAGTATTTTCTCGACGCTACTTATGAGGTTCGTCTTCACTATCTCATTCCGATAACCATGCCGTAACTGTTCTGTAACCGGTAGTTTTTTGTTCGTTAGGTTTACACTGCAGCCTTGGTTTACAGAACGATGATTTCGATGATTTTGGCGACAGTAGTCTTGAAGCAAGCTTATTTGGAACTGACATCAACTTCTGCGACTTTCCTGCACTTCCAGATGTGGAAGAAACCAGGTGCGGCTAATTTTTTTTTAAATCTAAAAGCTGACGTAGCTGAAGCAGTTGTGCATGATCGTTCACATGGAAGACACACCTAATCATTTGCTTTTGAAATATATTCTTTTTTAACAGGGAAAATTGCTCCAAGTATGTCGTCTCACCTCCTTTATATTTTGTTTGCAGTGGAGTTGAACAGCAGCGAGATGATAGTGAATTTGTTGATGCGAAAGTAGGAGATGCCCGGGAAGCCACTCCCTTTTTGGATGTTGTAGCTCCGAGCAGAAATGGTACTTTACTCTGAGATATTTGGTTGTCTACGTGAAAAGGCAATTCTACTACTCAGATGAAGTCTTTTTCTATACTCGTTCGAATGTCGAGAACGTGGAGCTTGATCCTTACGGATATGAGGGTGCTGGTTAGTGCTATGTTTATCCTAAGAAGAATCTAATAGGAGAATTGTCAGAATTAGTGGCATTTTACCTTAAGGTAGGTATCATCTGAAGCAGCTTGAAACGCTGAACCCAAAACAGCATTCCTTGGCAGCAGAACGAATCTGAGTCGGAGGTTATTGAATTTGATGTGCGGGAAATTTACAGCGCTAAGATCGAAGCCCATTCATTCTTGCCTTCATTACAGATGAGACACTTTGTCAATGCTTGATGTAGTTTCAGTCTTTGGGGAACGAAGTGCGTGGTATGAGGCGCCGCTGTGACCAGATCGGACTTAGGTTCGATGCCACCCTGGACCAACCAAGTCCTCTACCTTCCGGGGCCGGTAAATTGGTACCAGAGTAATCTGTAAGGATAAAAACACTGATTTGGTAATCGGCTGGACTCCGCAGGTCACTATAAATGGCTCGCACAAATCCTTACTCAATGCTGTAGCAAAATTTGATGATTAAAATCCCCACAACACCGATCTAAAATCGTTCCGCAGCTGAGAAAAGCTGTCTTGCAATCAACGTTTCAAGCTGCTTTAGATGGGACCCGTGAAAAAGCGACTTGTGACCCTGCCTCGTAAGGCCCCGCCAGAGTTCCAAAGCCACGCCAGCGCTGCGCCGGCGCCGAGCCAGCGCCAGCTGTCCCATTTGTTCGGGGCGGGGCCAGCTGACCCTGTGCGGGCAAGGGCTACCGGAGCTTCTGACAGATTCGATCAATAGTCGGTGCATCTAGCTGGCTGAGAACTAGGTCAGCTGGCCCCGCTCCAACGAAATGCACGTGTATCGATCGAAACAGCACCGAGATAGCTCGGCGCTAGCTCGACGCTGGCTCGGCGCCGCCTCGGCGCTGGCTCGGCGCCGACGCATCGCTGGCGTGGCTTCCGCACTCTGGCGGGGGGACCTAAGACCTACATGAATTGTTCTCGGTGTAGGTATAGACCGAGAAGAAAGCTTTGTCTTGGAAACGCTAGAGGCTAATACATCTGATCGCCGTGAATGCAGAAGAAAGCAGCGCCGACTCATCGTCGATGAGCACAAAAGTATCGCAGTGGAAGCCATGAAAGCGAATATGGCGGAGTACTCGTGAGTTTTCCAGTTCTCTTGGTGCCGAAAGCATATAGAGTAAAGGGATACGCTGCAAACGCTGGAACTCGCCCCACCAACTTGTCATTTGATGCGCTTGAAGGAGTCTAGCTCAGTGGAGAAGCTCTTCCAGTTCCCAGGATGCGCTTCACTAAGAGCCGCGCCACTACTCAGGGTGAGATATGCAAACGTGCTGTTGTGTGCTCTTTCTTTTTCTTCAGCACAATGTCTTGGCTTTGCATGAATGAAGGCCTCCTTAGCTTAGACGCTTCTAACCAACATACCCGCTGGGGAGGGGATCGCAGCCTAAAATAAAGCTTCATATCCAGAAGCTCAGGATATCTGGATTTTACGCTGTCTACTTATCCGTAAGTATTCCTGGCATCCTTCACTATGAAGATATTGAACAGGAGCAAGAAGCTGTACAAGCCGCTTTTTCCAGCTTTCCATACGATCCCCTAATGATCCCCAGCTGCCTACCGTCTTTTCCTTGAAGTAATTTTTGTCACATCGAGTAGATCGGGATTTTAGTGTTGGCGGGAAAAAAGCCCGCTTTGACCCCTTCGGCAGGGTATAAATACCGAGAGTCAGGGAAGGCTTCAGTCCGCGCTGAGGAAGTGCTAGCGGGGCTAACTCCGTCGAAGAGAGGCGGATCTACCCCTTAGACAGAGAGTTCATCCAGTCAACCTGCCGAAGTGGTCAAAGAGGGTAAAGCCCGTCGTTTCGTTGTTAGGCCTTGTTCAAGTTACGCATTCTTGTTTCTTGTTGTTCGTTGCCGTTTTTCTGAGACAAATTATTAGTCGTTCAATCCGTGTTGTCTGTCGATCTGGTTGAAACCGCCGTTATACCACTAGACCACCCCCGCTTACATGGGGGCCGAACCTACATGGATCAATTGAAATACACACGGGGCAATTGATGTCGACTGTCTCAGAGGCAAGACAGCATAGAGAGTAGAACAGGCCAAGAAGGCGAAACCAAAAGACCAAAAAATTGGGAAATTTATACGTCATCAAGCAGGTGACGTACGTAACAGGCCAAGAAGGCCAGATCTAAGATCAACTGGAAAAAAGTCTCTATCATATCATACAAGCAGGCAGTCAAGGTATAAGGAAGAAGTGATTGTTAATCAAATCATCCACGCTTAATAGAGGCGTGAGTATCGATTGTGACTCTCTTCGATCAGCTGAGACGAGCGATTTCGCGTGCGGTGTTGATTACCGATGAATGTTAAGGCAAGGCGAAGCATTTCGCTGCCGAGTACATTCATGTTCATGGATATGGATCAGAAGCAAAGAGGTGCAGATGATATCCATGGGAGAAAAGCACACTTGATGATGGAGGAGATAAGCGGAGTGAAGTTCCCCGGCGCTTTTGGAAGAGAACCTGTCCTCACAGTATGGAAGGCGTGGACGGCAGTGAGCATATTCGGACGTAGTGATTTGGACCTTGGAGAGAAGATAAGACTTTACCGGAAAGAAGCAATCTGCCTAGATTCGAAGTCTTTAGAAAAGGCTCTATTGCTTCCCTTTGACAACTGTACAGCGTGGGCGGAATTCATTTGTAGAAAAAGCGGAGTCAAGAAGCATGCACCCGTAAGAAGCTATGATGTCCAGCTATGTACCGCCCCTGGGGCGGTATGCAACATTCGCCCGTCCGGGTAAGTTACCCGGACAGGTAGTTTCGCTTCATAGCTCGGTGTTCTGGGAATCTGTATCTTTCCTTGTCTGTTCATCTGTTGGAAGCTCTACCACCCTAATATTGTAGCACAATGATTAGCAGCACTTTGCTGTATAAGCTGAGATGATTCGTTATTGATCTCCCACTGATCACGCTCATTTTCAAAGTTATTTATATCCGCAAAAACTCAATGAAGACGTCACAAAGTTTTGCTGTACATTTATTACGACAGTGCTACACATGTTTGTGAAAGAAATAAGTGAAAAATCAAGTTGACAAAATCTTCGCTGAACCTGTGCTCGTGAATTGGGCTCTATCGAAAAACTCAAAACTTGCACATTTCATCTGTGCTACTAAAAACATGCCTAGCATGTCGTAATAGGCCGACAGCAAAACTCTGTGACGTCTTCATTGAGTTTTTGAGGATATAAATAACTTTGAAAATGAGCGTGATCAGTGGGAATCCCGTTCGTGATCATACAAATAACAAATTATCTCAGCTTATACAGCAAAGTGCTGCTAGTCATTGTGTTACAATATTAGGTTAGTAGAGCCTCCAATAGATGAACAAACAAGGAAGAACACAGATTCCCAGAGCACCCAGAAGATGTATTACGAAGCGCTGAAAGCGGTGAAGTTGGAGATGGCTTTGACGGAAAAGAGTCAAAGACCAAGGAAGGCCCAGTAGCATTTCTGGCGCCTAAGTGCGCAGCAGCACTGGAAAGGGATGGAATGAGGTAATGACCAAAGTAATTGTACAGTATAGCCAGCTGAAGGAAGAGCTTGAGAAATTGAAGAATTTTCTATGGATTATTTTCTGGCCAGTAGGCACCAGAAGAGAAGACGAGGCCATCACTGGAGCAGTTGTGGCGTGCAAGAAGTATCTAGAGGAGGGCGGTCTCATAGTATCGGTTTGGCCACTGGTAGTAAGCAATAATGCCCATATTTGGAAAGTTATGACGGAACTTTGGACGCTCCTAGACTCCACATTGAAGACATACGCTGGGCCAGACCAGCTCATAACTTTAGTGACAGCGAGAATAGAAGACGGAAGAATATTTATAAAAGCAGGCTCGCCAGAATGCAGTCCAGTTTTATTCGACCTATCGTGGAGTGGCTTATGCGCGCTATTTGATACCATGAGGAGGAGAGGACCGGGAGCAGAGCTGCAGGAACTGTCGCCTCGATCTGCCACTCCTCCCCTCCGGCTCCCGGGATCGAGTAGATCGGGATTTTAGTGTTGGCGGGAAAAAAGCCCGCTTTGACCCCTTCGGCAGGGTATAAATACCGAGAGTCAGGGGAGGCCTCAGTCCGCGCTGAGGAAGGGCTAGCGGGAGCTAACTCCGTCGAAGAGAGGCGGATCTCCCCCTTAGATAGAGAGTTCATCCAGTCAACCTGCCGAAGTGGTCAAAGAGGGTAAAGCCCGTCATTTCGTTGTTGGACCTTGTTCAAGTTACGCATTCTTGTTTCTTGTTGTTCGTTGCCGTTTTTTTTTGAGATAAATTATTAGTCGTTCAATCCATGTTGTCTATCGATCCGGTTGAAACACCCGTTATACCACTAGACACCCCTGGTTACATTTTTCTTTTTCAAAGTCAATAAAAACGTTTCAGAGTTGTGCTGCTTATCTAACCCAGCTTTGCTAATCATGTTTCTGGTAAGAGCAATTGATGTTTCGAAGTCATATGATGAACCACAAGTTGAAAGTTGGGGTTTATCGAAAAATTCGATATTTCAAATTTTTTTTCATTAGCAACATGCTTAGCACCGTTGGGCTAGATAATCAATGCAATATGGAAGGTTTTCGTTAACCTTGAAAGGAGAAAAATGACTTTGAAGTAACGATGTTCAGCCGCAGGAAATCATCAGGGCCTACAAAGCTGAAAAACGCGTGTTGCACAGCTTCTTGCTCCTGTTCATTAAGTTTAGGTGTAAGATAGTAGGAATACTTGCGGATAGGTAGACAGCGTGAAATCCACATTTCGGGGTTTTAGGATATGAAGCTTTCAAGCTGCGATCCCCTCCCGAGCGGGGATATTAGTGCATGCGGCCCTAAGGCTTCGGCCATCCCGTTGCCCTCAAGTATCGACCCCTTGGCGCTAATTGCTGGCAGGGACAGTAAATAATCGATGGTTGCGGAATGTTGAGCGGGTCGCTTCAGAACATCTATCAATGGGTATGACCATTGCAAAATCTTGTATATTTAGCCGTTGGATCGATCATATCCAGAGATATGGGGCATCTATAGCAGTGTCCAAAAGACTGGGCTTTGTTTGAGACTTCTACTAGTCTGTTCAGTTGTACCAATCTCACCTGAGAATGCAGCTTCGCGATACAGAGGATTGCGAGATCAGGAAGGATATGGGCATGTCTGACGAGCTCATAAATGAGGAAGTTAGTTCCTTAATCTTACAGTAAATGCTTATCTCCTTGTACAACAATTTGGGCTGCATGAGCAGTGTATCTTGGGCAAGACGCGGAACTGACACCATCGCGTCTCGCCGAAAGAGATTTGCGGTTAGAAGAGACCGCAAACGAAGGAAGTGCGAGAGTGTATCGTCGTCTCCCGGTGTACGTTGGGCAGAGTATTTTAGACATTTGGTGAACTTGTCAAACCTCTACTGTAAAGCATATTTCTTTGTACTCTCTAACCTGCACCGCATATATGCTTTTGTCACACTGGCATTTTTGATAGCGAGATTACAAAAAACGATGCCTTGCATTAGAGGGTAAACAATTACCTACGTGTTCAAACGTCTGCAAATGCTCCAGTGTACACTGGGGGGACGACGATATGCGCTTTTTGATAGTGTCACAGATCTGGCGTCTCGAGTCTTCACAGCCGCTTCGCTCAGGCCTTGCGCTAGGTTTGCGTGCATACCCTCTGGACTTATAAGCGCCTAAGTAGGTGATTAAGGCTGCTGAGGAGAGAGGAGAAAGGGTCTCGAGGGTACCTTTTGTCTCATTTATGAACTCCAGTCGGTCTCACTTCAAATGAGACAGAGCGTACGTCTGGTAGACCTCAGACTTATCTTCAGTTCAACCGGTTCTTCCGGTACAGCATTCGCTACTGGCCAAATCACTGAACTGACTAAGGGCCGCATGCACTAACATTCCCGAGGGGAGGGGATCGCAGCCTAAAAGAAAGCTTTATATTAATACTTAGCTATAAGCAATATAGCTAATTATAGCTTTTTTATATAGCTAATTATAGCTTTATATTAATAGCTTTATATTAAGAAACTCTAAATACCTGGATTTCACATTGTGTGCCTATCCGTAAGTATTCCTACTACCTTCACTTTGAACATGTTGAAGAGGAGCGAGAAGCTGTACGAACCGCATTTTCCAGCTTTCGTATGATCCCTGATGATCCCCGGCGCTTTTCTTTAAAGTCATTTTTCTTTCTCCGAAGTACGAAGAACTTCCAAAGTTGTGCCGATTATCTAACCCAATAGTGCTAAGCATATTGCTGATAAGAACAAATGATGTTTTGAAGTCATGCAATTTTCGATGATCCACAGGTCGAAATTTGGGGTATATCGAAAAATTCGATTTTTCAAAAATCTATTTGTTCTCATCAGCAACATGCTTAGCACTGCTGTGTTAGATGTTCAGTATAACTTTGGAAGGTTTTCGTTAACTTCGGAGAAAGAAAAACGACTCTGAAGAATAGATGTTCGTCCCCCAAGGATCATCAGGGGATCCTACAAAACGCTGGGAAATGCGGCTTGTACAGCTTCTCGCTTCTGCTGAATATGTTCATAGTGAAGGATGGTGGGAGTATTTACGGACAGGTAGACAGCGTGAAATCCAGATATCCGGAGCTTCAGGATATGAAGCTTTCTTCCGAAGCTGCGATCCCCTCCCCACCGGAAATGTTAGTGCATGCGGCCCTAAGAGAGAATGGGTTGAACCGGTTGAGCCGATCAAGTCTGGCACCTACCATCTCAATGCGTCAAGTTGTAGCAAGGTGACCGCGAAGACGCCATCCGCTAAAGCTGATACTCTTACCAAGACAACCTATGCACGATTACATGAGAAGCTGAAGCTCGAGAATGCACAATAACTTTCAATTTTTCGCAACGTTACCAGCCCAGCACTTGCGAAAGATCGCTATGCGTCATGAACATGGTGACAGGTGCCATGCTTGCAAAATTGATCCCAAGCGGCAAGCGCAAATTATCGCCGGGGGCAGACGGCCATGTGATTTTTGGGCGAGCGGGGACCGGAAAAATAGTAGCTGATTTCTTGAGGTCCGCTTGCAGAAATTTGAAAGAATGCTGGCCGATTTTTGACGAATGCTCGGTTGCGAATTGCGGTTTCTCCATGGATTAGTTGCGGCGCTGTGGCCGCATTCTCGCGGCCTTTCCGCGAGAATATGCAAAATTATTGGGGGGGGGGGGGGCGCACGGTCCTTTGTGGAAGACCGCACAGTCCCTACTCAGATAATCGCCGGGGACAGGCGGTCCGCAAACTCGCGCTTTTCTGCAGGTGGTCAGCAGAATTTTGGGGCGTGGTCAAACCTTCAGCGGGCGACACTTCCTTTACGGTCATTCTGCCAGCGGGCAGCAATGCAGAATTTTCTGCAAGCGCTCGTTAACTAACCTCTTTCAGCGAGCGCTGGCCAAACTTTCAGCAAACGCTCGGACTCTTTTTAAGCAGTTTTGGGCGTACGCCGAGCAAAGGTGGGACTCTATATGTCATCGATGGTTCAATTACCCGAGTTTGGGGTACTTTCTTTAAGCGGAAGGTACTTAAGGGCTTGCGGTCCTTCACAAAGGACCGTGGGGCCCCTAATAATTTTGCATATTCTCGCGGGAAGTCGGACAGTTTTCCGAGCGCTCGTCTAAAAGCTGGCCAAAATTATTTTAGATTTCTACAAGCGGACCGTAAGAAATCAGCGAACTATTTTTCCGGTGCCCGCTTGCTCAAAATTTGCATGGCCGCCTGCCCCGGCGATTATCTGAGTAGGTACCTTCCGCTAAGAGAAAGACCCCAAACTCGTGTAATTGAACCATCGATAACACCTCTGCCACACGGAGTCTCACCTTTTCTCGACGTACGCCCGAAAGTGCGTAAAAACAGTCCGAGCGCCTGCTGAAAGTTTGGCCCACGCTGCTGAAAGAGATTATTTGACGAGCGCTTGCAGAAAATTTTGTATTGCTGCCCGCTGGCAGAACACGGAAGTACCGCTTGCTGAAGGTTTGGCCACGCCCCAAAAATTTGCTGACCGCCTGCAGAAAAGCGCGAGTTTGCAGTCTGCTTGCCAACGGCGACTGTCTGAGAGGATGCTATGGGGTATATTTCCTTAGACGCTTCGTACTGCAACAGGCGTTACTTTTTGGCTGATGGTTGGGGATGAAACTTTCGTAACGATTTCATCTAGGGGCCACTGCATCTTGGCGTCGAGCACAGCTCACCCTTCTTCGAAGGCATCAGTTCCGAGCAGTCTACGCTGACCGTCGACCAGGTGAGGGTGTTGTTTCGCTTCGTAAAGAATTAGACGGTGGCTGGTGTATGGCAGAGCTTTTATATGAATCACTCATTCAGTTGGTTCCATTGAACATAATTTTCAGAGACGAGAAGATGAAGAAGATGGAGAGGAGACGTCTCGAGACGTGCATAGAGTTGACCGCCGTTTGAAGCACAAACAGAATGTGCTGAGCTTGATTGCAACGAGACTTCGGTCAGCAAATCAGACTCAGGTACGCACTTGCATGTTTGTTTGACGTTTGAAGGCTTCACTTGTGCTTCGGCTGACCTGAGATATGAATTCACTTGTGCTTGAAAAAACAAAAGTTGTGATGTAACGTAACACGGTCAAGTAGGATTTTTAGATTCTTTTCCACGATCTTATGACGAGGAATGTTACAAGGAAGGCGGCAGCACGGAACTTCTTTATACTGTTGGAGTTGGTCGGATTACGCGCGGTGAATGTGATGCAGCAGGGCTGTTATCACGATATTTTCATATCGGCTGGACCAAACATTGCGCAAGTGATGGCTCAGTAATACATCTTTTCATTGTACATCTTTAGCGAAGTATCTCTTAACAACAACCTTATCATTTCAAAGGCGATTTCCGAGTAATTTATTTGTTGAAATAATCTATTCCTGCACTACTTGGGAGTGAACATTCTGTGCAGTTCTGCTCTGGAAGTCTTTGCTTAGTTAGCCACTTTGCCCTTTTGCTTGATTTTGAAGGATTTACTATTTCGGATTTCCCTAAGGTGGCGACATGCCTTGTTTAATTCCTTTCATGAAATATGTGCCCTAAGCTATGATGTATCGATTGCAATTCAAGTGAAAAAGTTTGGTGGCCATAACCATGCAACTAAACATGGTATAATCTTCTGAATGAGTATCACAGCTCCTTGGTTTGAGCGCTCCCGGCCTCTTCGCTCTGTCCATTCGCGTTGCAAAGATATCTTTCGAACATTTTCCCACTCTTTAGCAGCATTTGTGGATCAGTGAGGCTTGTGAATGTTCAGAAGATATGTCCGCGAATTGGCGCAAGGACAGAGCGAGGAGGCCGCGAATGTACCACTGTTAGCTATGACACTCACACCGAGATGGCTTGCACAACTGATTGGGGCAAAGTGAAGCTCGGGATATCAGTCAGTGCAATCAAGTGGGCCGATGTTTGAACGACATTACGCAGATAACTTTATGTAGAACGAGTTTGGCAAGTGTTATTTGTACAGATCCGGTAAAGTGTTTACCTCTATGGTCATCGACGGTCAGTTTTTTCTGTTTATAAACAATACGCGAAAAAGCTGCTATATTTTCCTGGCTCTTAGTTGGGAGCGGATGAAAAGCGATCTATTTTCTGGCTCCACTGTTCAGATAATCGTCGGGAGTAGGCGGCCATGCGATTTCTGGGTAAGCGGGCACCGGAAAAATAGTCCACTGATTTCTTGTGGTCCGCTTGCAGATTTTCAAAAGAATGTTGGACGATTGGACGAACGCTCGGAGAACATTCGGACCTTCCATAGTAGTGGCGGCGCAATGGCCGCATTTTCGCGGATTTTCCGCGAGAATATGCAAAATTCTCGGCCGCACAGTCCTTTGTGAAGGACCGCACAGCCCCTAGGTACCTTCCGCTGAGTATCCCAAACTCGAGTAATTGAACCATCAATGACGCCTCTGCCATATAGAGCCTTACCTTTGCTCGGCGTACGCCCGAAACTGCGTAAAAAAGTCCGAGCGCTCGCTGGATTTATGGCAAGCGCTCGCTGAAAGAAATTATTTGACGAGCGCCCGCAGAAAACTCTGCATAAGTCATCCATATATCTGTAAAAGAATATTAGGTCATTCTTTATGATAGTTTGAATGGAACACTTATATTCATACCAGGGAAGTCTAAGATCTGCTAACAGTGGGCTAAACTTATCACCCTGAGGGATACCAATTTTTGTTTGAAGTGTAAATGCTGAAGCGACAGATCTTAGAAACTGTTACCGTATACTCCACTAGCTATAGTAGATCTGTTATAGTGTTAAATTTAGCTTTTGTGTCCAAGTGTGTCATACCACTACTATAATAAATATTAAATCCACGAATCCCTTCAAGTACTTCCTTTCAATTGGTGTATTCTTGTAACTTGTATTTTGTGCCTTTAGTCATTATTGATTTTAAATTTTTGTGTGTTCTTGCGGCTATGTTGACCCGCTCAGGTTGTCCGTTTACTCCGTGTTCTGTCAAGAAGGTGTGCGTGGTTTTCCGCTGTTTCTGTTGCGGATGTCAATAGGGTAATCTTATTTGGTTTCCGACTTATTTTGGTTTTTTTTTGAGTGTTAATCCATCCGTGATACCGCTGCTTTACTGAACGACTTTGATCGCGTTATCTTTTTCTTCTTGGTTGTCCTTTGAAGGTAATATTTTTCCATATTGCGCAACGTGGTTTTACTGTAAACGAGCACGTAGTAGCTTGCCCAGAACTTTTGAAAGTTTTTTGCAGAATAAGCGCTAGTGCTGGCACCTTTGCACCTTTACAGTTTTGTGTTGTTTGTATTCAGTGAGTTTCTGTGCTATCATTGTTGTTTGAATATGCATTCGTTGTCTGTACTACCTTGCTTCTTGTCCTATTCTCTGTCGAGTCTCTGTTTAAGATCACTTTTGCACGTACGGTAAGTGACGTCAACGACGACGAGGAAAGTGCAGTATGAATCTTTGTTGTTTGCTTGTTTATTTAATCATATTTGACTTGTATTTCACATGTGTTATCGGTTAAAAGAGTACTACAGGAAGATCAGCCAGTTAGGAAAGCTATTACGGTCTTTGGGGATTATCAGACAAGTATCTTGAGAAATACTCTGAGGGTTGACAAGGCGCAGCACTTCACATTAGTAACCTATTCTATAACGAGTGATACTCTGAGGGTTGACAAGGCGCAGCATTTCACTTTAGTAACTTATTCTTCAACTGTTCTTGTTAGTTTTTAAAACAAAGGTTTATTCACCGAGGCTTGAGGTGTCAACCGCAAGCAAACAACCTGCGTGGCCGCCATGTCTTACTGTCCCATGGCCTTATCTACAGTTAGTCCTAGTCTAAAGTCCGTTTTATGCCAGTGATTTTGTTCCGTTAGCCTTAATTTCAAGATGTAAGTCATTACTTTCACTGATTTGTTCAGCTTGCACAAGATTGGTAAATCTCTTTATTTGACCGACGTTTCGGCAATATCGCTTTCTTCGGGGTCTGAAAAAGTCGTGACCATTAAACTGACCAGTCAGCAACTTCGTCACGATCAAGCAAATTGTCCAACCTGTCAGCGAATCAAAAGAGTACAAATGACAAGATCGGGTCATTGCTCTGTCAACATCAACAATTCAATGCTGATACATTATCCCAATAACTGACCACCATTCTTCCAGATCTAGCAACTTGGTCTCGGCCTGCTGTTAGCGGAGAAGCCACAGAGGCTCTGGTAAGGAGCCAGCTCTTGTGTAATGGCACTCTTGCCCAGGCACTCATCTTTTCTATTCATTTTCGGACTTTCCGTCGCGATCCAAAACGCTTCTAAAGTTTTGCGCGTTAGGATTTCGGGCTCATAAGCTAAGATTGAGACCTCCACGCTTAAATTTGCGTCCTCATGGCGCTGCCTGCGGTACCCTACCAAAAAGCGCATACATAAAAAGCGCCGACAAAATAGTACCGAAAAAGCAGAAGCTGAAACTAAGATTCCATTTTGCTTGCCATTTGTGTAAGAAGAACTGAGTATGGTAGTCAGAAAGTTATTACAGCGAGCGGAGCTAGAAGATTGGGTAAGAGTCGTCGACATACCGCCTGCTAATCTCAAGCATCAACTTGTTCGCAATCGCGCGTATGACAGACTATGTACGACTCCTCAGCTGTAGGATCTGCCCGTTTGGCAAACAAGGTGATTGTATGGATTCTGGTGTAGTGTACCGTATTACATGCCAATCATGCAAAGAATCGTATATAGGTCAAACCGGACGCCCATTGTGCACACGCATAAAAGAACACTTAGATGGGCTTAGAAGATCAAATCCCACCACGCCGTTGGGCATGCACCGCAGGCAGCGCCACAAGGACGCAAATTTAAGCGTGGAGGTCACAATCTTAGCTTATGAGCCCGAAATCCTAACGCGCAAAACTTTAGAAGCGTTTTGGATCGCGACGGAAAGTCCGAAAATGAATAGAAAAGATGAGTGCCTGGCCATTACACAAGAGCTGGCTCCTTACCAGAGCCTCTGTGGCTTCTCCGCTAACAGCAGACCGAGACCAAGTTGCTAGATCTGGAAGAATGGTGGTCAGTTATTGGGATAATGTATCAGCATTGAATTGTTGACAGAGCAATGACCCGATCTTGTCATTTGTACTCTTTTGATTCGCTAACAGGTTGGACAATTTGCTTGATCGTGACGAAGTTGCTGACTGGACAGTTTACATGGTCACGATTTTTTCAGACCCCGAAGAAGGCGATATTGCCGAAACGTCTGTCAAATGAAGAGATATACCAATCTTGTGCAAGCTGAACAAATCATGAAAGATATATACACTTATACGATGCCGAGATTAATTGATAGTCGATCCTGGATAAGTCATTACTGTTGCTTCTGGTGTTTCATTAGAGATGTACTGTTTTTGAGTTCCTTCAGCGCATCGGAAGTTATTTCCTCTTTTGGGCCGGTATACCGTCGTGCTCGCTCTTGATTTGAAAGATTTGAACTTTCAGCTCTTATCTAGCGGAAGTAATTTGTTGTGTCACTCCACGCATGAGATCGAAGTCTGTTTGACTTTCTTGATATGCTGTTTTACCTTTGTAGGAATAAACTATTCATCATATATTCGTTGCAGTCGTTTGTTGGATTTTTTCTTCTTGGCGCATTGTGAGCTAACTTTCGTAGCAATAACTCCATCTTGCTTTGACAGTATGCTACAGGATTTGATCTGTGGAAAACGTGAAGTGTGGTCTCATACAAATCGCCAAATACTGCCGGAGGACAGTGGAAGTCTGGCACACTTCCGGAGGGCGCTCTTAACCATTGGAGGGGCGAGATGATGGTGACGTCACTCGCGGTGAGCCGAGAAGAACACTTCCGCAGGATTCGCAAATCTGTGTTCCGAAGGTGCCCCAGATTTGGGAGACTCTCGGAGAGTTGGCGCGCAGCCAATCTGCCCAGGACCACTTGATCACACGCTAGTTGGCGGTAGCGTCTTCCTGCTGATATTGATTGGTTTTGGGTATGGTCTTTCCTTACAACACTCGTTGGTTATGCCTTTTTCATCCTCGTCCTTTGTATTTCATTACGTCTTTGTTACTCAGCTTTCACACAGTATCTTTTCCAGTTCTTCCACGTCTTCCACTTCGTCCCTTGCTCTTCGCAACCATCAACATCGACTCATCTCCTCTCCAGGTAAAATATTAGGTGATTCTAGTGGTATTCTTACATGGGATAGCACATATCACCTGCGAAGTTTTTTTTAGCACTATGCATCTCATTGTGTGCGGTTGCACTCTTCAACCTTTGGCAAGCACCGTTCTTTGGACCATATCAAAGTGCCCCTTTGGTTTGTACGTCTCTGCAAGGGAAGGATACTCGGTCGAAGTGGCCATTTGGAATGAGTTGTATATTAGGAAACCGTCCTCCGTAAGGCAAACTCAAAACTACTTTCGCTAGGTGCCGAGCGGTTTTGTGGGAGGAGTTACAAGGCCATTTTCCTCCGGCGCAGCCAGCGCACCCAGTGATAAGCGGGCCGCTAGAATAACGCAACAGTGTGGCAGTGGCGCAGTGGCAAAGCAGCGGACT